CTTTGGAAGACAACACACACCGCTCGGCTAATTCTACAGGTTCCTCTGTGGTGTGCTATAAACTGTTATGGCCCACCAGATTTGGACAGTGAGGAGGTTGGGGAGGAAGATGGATGGACCAGTCCTGGAGTCTGGGGACGGCTCTGAGGAGGGCTCTGTGTCGGAGGCAGAGAGGGAGCCAGGGCCGTCTGACAGTTATCAGCTGCCTTCAGAGTCAGACAGCAGTGGGGCAAAAGAACAGCTGGAGCCTGTTCCCGGTGTGTGCATGCGCAGAGTGGCCAGATGAAGGGAACAGCTAAAGAACAGTGGGCGACTTGGGAGGAAAGCCACGGGTGGAGGATGAATGGCCCCTCCCAGAGGAAATAAAAGAGTGTCTAAGAACCCCGTTTCACCGAAAATAAGGCCTCCCTGGATAATAAGCCCAATTGGGCTTTTGAGCGCATGTGCCAAAATAAGATCTCCCCCCCCAAAAAAAATAATGCAACACAGCAGCAGCCATGAGGTGACCATGCTCGCCGCCTCCTGCACCTCAAAAATAATAGGACCTCCCCGAAAATAAGACCAAGCGCTTATTTCGTGGGTCAAAAGAAAATAAGACCCTGTCTTATTTTGGGGGGAAACACGGTAGAAATGAAGCGGGATGAGCTTTTGTCTTTCATCAAAGGGACTTTCAGCCAGCCAAGCTGGAGGGTGGGACCTCCAATCACTCACGGCTGGCTCTAGGTTCCCTTTACAGTCATCCCCGGCCTCCTGTGAGTCAGGCCCATCATGCTTTCCACAGGAGGGATGACTAAGTGGCTACAAACACATCCTGGGTTTTTTAGAAAGCCTCACGTGGCTGTGACTCTCCTGGAAATGGCCAGTGGTGGACCAAATCCATCAGAATGGCTGGGATTGTTTCCAACAATCCCAGCATTGGGGGGTTTCCCCCTCCGATGGCGGACTTGCTGTGGAGGAAACATGGAAGAGAGCTCTAACAAATCAGTTTTGCATGCACCAGTTTCAAACAGAGCACTGAGTGGTGAGGTGGAGCCTAGAGGGTGAGCTCTCGCCTCGCAATCAGGAAGCCGTGAGTTCGATCCTTAGGCAGAGGTAGATATTTCTCTCTCTTTGGGCACAATGAGAATATACCTGCTGGATATAACTCCGCATTGGCAACAGGAAGGGCATCTGGCCAGTAAACACTCAGTTCCATTCGGCTGCCCAAACTCCACCCCCCGCAAGGGATTATGGGGTCATGAAAAGACTTTTTTCAGTGCCGTTGTAACTTTGAACGGTCACTAAACGGACTGTCGTAAATCCAGGACTTCCTGTACTCTGGAGGATCCCTTTTTGCCACTGCCTGACCTTTGCCGCTGTTCTCTGACCTTTGCGCAGGATGTTCAACCTACATGGACATTGTGATTGTCCTGGATGGCTCCAACAGCATTTACCCATGGTATGAGGTGCAGAATTTCCTTAGCAACATTCTCAGCAAATTTTTCATTGATCCAGAGCAGATCCAGGTGAGCTTTGCTTGCTATTTCAGTCTCAATCTTTATTTATTGACTAGCCCAGGGCTCAGCAAACTGCAGCTCTGGAGCCGCATGTGGCTCTTTCCTCCCTTTGCTGCGGCTCCGTCACCTGTCGGCACCACAGTTATGAGAGGAGCTTCCGGTGGGGAGGGGGCAGAGAAGCACAGTACGCTAGGAGAAGACTCTATGGCAAGGGGAAGGTTTTCCAGTTGTCTCCACAATTGATAGGGCCTTCGGTTAGGACAGGTAGAGGAAAAAGTAAAAGTACTCTAGGAGGAGACTCTATGGTGGGGGAACTGAACTTCCGGTCAGCTCCAGAATTGAACAGGGGGCTTCTGGTTAGGACCTTTGTGGCGCCCAGTGGTTTCTTTTCTGTGGGAAATGGGTCCAAATAGCTCTTTGAGTGTTTAAGTTTGCCAACCCCTGGACTAGCCGATAATCTGGCGTTGCCCAGGTATTTATTTATAGGGGGGAAATGTCCAGACCAAACGTAATTTCTAATGTTGGCTTTAACCGCTTATCAGAGGGAGCCCCCTTGTGGAGTACTGTGAAGCTGTTGCCATGGCAACTCCACCACGCTGCACAGTAGAAGCCAGTTTACAGCAGTACAGTGGAAGCCACTTTAAGGCACAACAGGCTTTATTTTAAAAGAACCAGGGGTGAAATGCTACCTGTTTGAGGCAAACTGGTAGTTCCGACGATCAGCTGTGCATCAATCAACTGTGCCGCACTTATATTCAATGGTTTATATTCGCTAGAAATTGCGCAGCACAGCTGATTGTCGCACAACTGATTGTCGGAACTTTTTAAAAACTTTTTTAGCATTTTTTTTACTACTGGTTCCAGTAGTAATTCGCCCAAACGGGTAGCAGACTTCAGCATTTCACCCCTGAACAGAACACACCCCGAAGGGTGTTAGGGGTGTTCCCCCCCCCCATATTTTTCTCCGGAGAGTAAATCATCTGTGTACCAAGTTGGGTTGAAATTGCTCGAGGCGTTCCAGAGTTATGCTGGAATACACAGAGACAGAGACACACACAGACACGTTTTTATGTAGACAAAGTAGCCCTTGGGCCATATCAAAGTGCAGAGTTTGCTTTTTCATTGTTTCTTGTGGTTCTTTTAAGGTTCATTATCAGTGGGACATGAGCCCACACCATCATCTCTGGAAAAGAGATGCTATTGGGGAAGTTAGCATAGACCAAGCTGCCTTAATGAGATTGAGACCTCATGAACCCCTCCCTCTTCCAAAGACTCAAGAGGGTCCCTTTTCCTCTTGGCTTCGCAGGTTGGAGTCTTGCAGTACAGCGAAGTTGCGGTTCATGAGTGGACCCTGAAGGATTACAAGACGGCAGAGGAGGTCATCGAAGCTGCCCAAAATATCAGCCGGCAGGAAGGACTTGAAACTCGGACAGCTTCTGCCATCCACAAGGCCTGGTAGGTGCTGGGAGGTGAAAGAGAAGGCAGAAAGTCTATGGAGATTCTCCGTCCTCCAGGTCCTGGTTGTCCCAAAGGAGGCAACTGGACTTTCTGGGTTTTCTTTGAAGACGTTTTGCTTCTCACCCAAGAAGCTTCTTGGATTTTGCCCAATGTACAAGGCTTCCACAAGCAATTTTCCAGTAGAAATTTACTTCTTCCTTCCTTCATTATTATTCACCATAGACTTTTTCATAAGATATAGCCCCTCTGTGAGATGGATGGATGGATGGATGGATGGANAATTTCCTTAGCAACATTCTCAGCAAATTTTTCATTGATCCAGAGCAGATCCAGGTGAGCTTTGCTTGCTATTTCAGTCTCAATCTTTATTTATTGACTAGCCCAGGGCTCAGCAAACTGCAGCTCTGGAGCCGCATGTGGCTCTTTCCTCCCTTTGCTGCGGCTCCGTCACCTGTCGGCACCACAGTTATGAGAGGAGCTTCCGGTGGGGAGGGGGCAGAGAAGCACAGTACGCTAGGAGAAGACTCTATGGCAAGGGGAAGGTTTTCCAGTTGTCTCCACAATTGATAGGGCCTTCGGTTAGGACAGGTAGAGGAAAAAGTAAAAGTACTCTAGGAGGAGACTCTATGGTGGGGGAACTGAACTTCCGGTCAGCTCCAGAATTGAACAGGGGGCTTCTGGTTAGGACCTTTGTGGCGCCCAGTGGTTTCTTTTCTGTGGGAAATGGGTCCAAATAGCTCTTTGAGTGTTTAAGTTTGCCAACCCCTGGACTAGCCGATAATCTGGCGTTGCCCAGGTATTTATTTATAGGGGGGAAATGTCCAGACCAAACGTAATTTCTAATGTTGGCTTTAACCGCTTATCAGAGGGAGCCCCCTTGTGGAGTACTGTGAAGCTGTTGCCATGGCAACTCCACCACGCTGCACAGTAGAAGCCAGTTTACAGCAGTACAGTGGAAGCCACTTTAAGGCACAACAGGCTTTATTTTAAAAGAACCAGGGGTGAAATGCTACCTGTTTGAGGCAAACTGGTAGTTCCGACGATCAGCTGTGCATCAATCAACTGTGCCGCACTTATATTCAATGGTTTATATTCGCTAGAAATTGCGCAGCACAGCTGATTGTCGCACAACTGATTGTCGGAACTTTTTAAAAACTTTTTTAGCATTTTTTTTACTACTGGTTCCAGTAGTAATTCGCCCAAACGGGTAGCAGACTTCAGCATTTCACCCCTGAACAGAACACACCCCGAAGGGTGTTAGGGGTGTTCCCCCCCCCCATATTTTTCTCCGGAGAGTAAATCATCTGTGTACCAAGTTGGGTTGAAATTGCTCGAGGCGTTCCAGAGTTATGCTGGAATACACAGAGACAGAGACACACACAGACACGTTTTTATGTAGACAAAGTAGCCCTTGGGCCATATCAAAGTGCAGAGTTTGCTTTTTCATTGTTTCTTGTGGTTCTTTTAAGGTTCATTATCAGTGGGACATGAGCCCACACCATCATCTCTGGAAAAGAGATGCTATTGGGGAAGTTAGCATAGACCAAGCTGCCTTAATGAGATTGAGACCTCATGAACCCCTCCCTCTTCCAAAGACTCAAGAGGGTCCCTTTTCCTCTTGGCTTCGCAGGTTGGAGTCTTGCAGTACAGCGAAGTTGCGGTTCATGAGTGGACCCTGAAGGATTACAAGACGGCAGAGGAGGTCATCGAAGCTGCCCAAAATATCAGCCGGCAGGAAGGACTTGAAACTCGGACAGCTTCTGCCATCCACAAGGCCTGGTAGGTGCTGGGAGGTGAAAGAGAAGGCAGAAAGTCTATGGAGATTCTCCGTCCTCCAGGTCCTGGTTGTCCCAAAGGAGGCAACTGGACTTTCTGGGTTTTCTTTGAAGACGTTTTGCTTCTCACCCAAGAAGCTTCTTGGATTTTGCCCAATGTACAAGGCTTCCACAAGCAATTTTCCAGTAGAAATTTACTTCTTCCTTCCTTCATTATTATTCACCATAGACTTTTTCATAAGATATAGCCCCTCTGTGAGATGGATGGATGGATGGATGGATGGATGGATGGATGGATGGATGGATGGATGGATGGATGGATGGATGATTAGATGGATGATTAGATGGATGGATGGATGATTGNAAACCGCTTAGAGAGGGCTGTAAAAGCATTGTAAAGCGGTATATAAGCGTAAGAGCTATTGCTTGTGAAAGAAAGAAAAAGGAAGGAAGGAGAGAAGGAAGCAAGGAAAGAAGGAAGGAAGGAAGGAAGGCATGGTGACCCAGTGGCTAGAATGCTGTATTGCAGGTTAACTCTGCTGACTTCCAGCAGTTCAATCCTGACCGGCTCAAGGTTGAATCAACCTTCTGTCCTTCTGAGGTGGGTAAAATGAAGGCCCAGATTGTTGGGGGCAAGAGGCTGATTCTGTAACCCACTTAAAGGGGGCTGTTAGCACTGTAAAGTGGTATACAAGTCTGCTAGTGCTGTCTGTCTGTCTGTCTGTCTGTCTGTCTGTCTGTCTGTCTGCCTGCCTGCCTGCCTGCCTGCCTGCCTGCCTGCCTGCCTTCCATCCTTCCGAGGTTGATAAAACGAGGACCCAGATTGTTGGGGGCAAGAGGCTGACTCTGTAAACCACTTAGAGAGGGCTGGAAAGCACCGTGAAGCAGTATATAAGACTAAGTCCTATTGCTAGTCCTTCCTTCCTTCCTTCCTTCCTTCCTTCCTTCCTTCCTTCCTTCCTTCTTTCCTTCCTTCTTTCCTTCCTCCTAAAGGTCGACTCAGCCTTCCGTCCTTCCAAGGTTGATAAAATGAGGATCCAGATTGTTGGGGGCAAGAAGCTGACTCTGTAAACCAATTAGAGAGGGCTATAAAGTACTGTGAAGCAATATATAACTGTGCTATTTCTATTTCTATTTCTATTCTATTCTACATTATTCTATTCTATTCTTCATTTTTCTACTCTACTCTATTCTACGTTACGCTACGCTACGCTATTCTATTGCCATGGTGGCACATCGATAGAATGCAGTATTGCAGGCTTATTTTGCTGACTGCCAGGAGTTCGAATGTCACCGGCTCAGGGTTGACTCAGCCTTCCATCCTTCCAAGGTGGGTAAAATGAGGACCCAAATTGTTGGGGGCAAGAGGCTGACTCTGTAAACCGNTAGAGATGATAGATAGAGATGATAGAGATAGAGATAGAGATGATAGAGATAGAGATAGAGATGATAGAGACAGAGATAGAGATGATAGATAGAGATAGATAGATAGAGAGATGATAGAGATAGAGATAGAAATAGAAATAGACACAGACACAGAAACTAGAATAGAATAGAATAGAATTTTGAATTGAGTAGAAGTCTGAATCGGATAGGATAGGATAGGATAGAATTCTGAATAGAAATAGAATAGAATTCTGCATAGAATAGGATAGAATTCTGAATAGAATTCAATAGAATTCTTTATTGACCAAATGTGACTGGACACACAAGGAATTCATCTTCTGTGCATGAGCTCTCAGTGTACATAAAATATATAAGTGATAAATCATGATCACAGTCATCATAAATATGTTCATCATGAATCATAAGCTACAACACTGATAGCCATAGGATACTAGATAAGCAATCAAAATCATACTACTAAATAAAACAATATAAACCGTAAAGATACAAGCAACAAGGTTATAGTCATAAGTGGAAAAGGAGCTAGGCAATAGGAAGGATGAAAACAAGAATAGTAATACAGTCTCACTAAATAGTTTGACAGTTGTGGGAATTAGTTGTTTAGCAAAGTGATGGCATGTGGGGAAAAACTGTCCTTGTGTCTAGTTGGGCAGCCATATAAATTTTTAAAATAAATAGGGAATAAAAAATAAAACATATGGAGAAAGTACTGTACAAAGTGAAGGTTTTTTCCCCACGTTGAGGTTGTGTGCATCCACAACCAATCTCAACATCCGTCTTGCAATGCAAGAACAATCCTTTTCCTGATATGAGTGGATGCAGACAGACGCAAGGAATGTATTTACTTTTAAACGCGTTTCCCTCTCTTTCTCTCCTTCTCTTTTGAAGTCACTGCTGACTCTCAATGGGACCCTCCTTCCTGACCCCAAACCTCAGGATGCCCGCTTTGGCTACGCCATCCTGGCTGTTCCGGATCTTAATCACGACAGCTTTAACGACGTAGTTGTGGGTGCCCCCTTGGAGGACAACCACCAGGGGGCAGTCTACTTGTACCACGGCTACCGTACAACTGTATTGCCACGTTTCAAACAGGTGAGTGAGCGTTAGCATCTCCCACTTTCAGTTTCTACTTTCGCTTTAATAGGATGTTTAATTCAGTGTTATGTATCTGCAAAAGTCTTCCAACCTGGTTGAATGGAGCGAATTCAATTCCATCATTCGGCACAGACGTGGTGGCTCAGTGGCTAAGACGCTGAGCTTGTCCATCAGAAAGGTCGGCAGGTCGGCGGTTCGAATGCCTAGCACCGCATAACGGAGTGAGCTCCCGTTCCTTGTCCCAGCTTCTGCCAACCTAACAGTTCGAAAGCACCTAAAAAATGCAAGTAGAAAAATAGGAACCACCTTTGGTGGGAAGGGAACAGCGCTCCGGGCGGCTTCGGCATTGAGTCATGCCAGCCATATGACCACGAAGATGTCTTCGGAGAGCGCTGGCTCTTCAGCTTTGAAACTGAGATGAGCAGCGCCCCCTAGAGTCGGGAACGGCTAGCACATATGTGCGAGGGGAACCTTGACCTAATTCTGCACAGTACAGGAAGTCCTCGACTTACAACAGTTAGTTTAGTGGCCGTTCAAAGTTGCGGCGGCACTCAAAATCGGTGACTTATGACCGATTTTCACAGTTGCGACCTCTGCAGCATCCCCATGGTCACGTGATCAAAATTCAGGTGCTTTGGCAATGGACTCCTATTTATGATGGTTGCAATGTCAGGTGATTTCCTTTTGAGAACTTCTGACAAGCCATGTCAATGGGGAAGCCAGATTCACTTAACAACCAGGTTATTAACTTGGTTTATAATTGTTTATAACTTTCGAAGATCCGAATATATTACTTGGGTTTTTAAAAAACATTTATTTCAAATTCTTTCACTTCTTAAATTTCAGAAGTGAAGAAAAACTTACCCAATGAAGGCTTCTCAAACCTCTATAGGTCTATAATGGGTTTGGGAATTTTCAAAAAGGCCATTAAAAAGTGAGCTTTAGTGTCCTTTAAAAGTCTCCCCCTCAATTGGGAGCAAGATGGCCAATTCCATCAGCAGGAGGAGCAGCCACCCGGCGCAATACAGGCCATCTCCCGTCCTCTTCTTATCAGGGGAGGTTCCAAAGAACTGTCTACTTGCTGGTGTCTTAGTCTTTGCCACGGTACACCTTCCCTAAAGACCTTATACCAGTGATGGCGAACCTTTCCAGCACCATGCCCAAATTGGAATCCGTGTTCATGCGTGCGCATTTGTGCGCACCAGAAACTCAAAGACCAGCTGGCTGGCTGGCGTTTGCATGTCATTTTTTTGGCCGTTTGGGGGGCCGTTTTCAGGCTGTTTTGGGGGGCCATTTTCAGGCTGTTTGGGGCCGTTTTCAGGCTGTTTTGGGGGGCGTTTTCAGGCTGTTTTGGGGGGTGTTTTCAGGCTGTTTTGGGGGGTCATTATCAGGCTGTTTTGAGGGGTCATTATCAGGCCATTTTTGAACTGAAAAACAACCTGAAAACAGCCAGAAAAACAGGTGGAAAACAGGGGAGAAATGGCCCGGAAAATGGCCTTTTTGCTATTTTTCCGGCCGTTTCCTGTTGCTCTGGTACCTGTGAAGAGCAGCTGGTGATGGCACACATGCCTGCAGAGAGGGCTCTGCCTGCCACCTCTGCGGCCACAGGTTTGCGGTCATGACTATATAAGCCTGGTGGGTTTACAAGAAAAAGGGTGATTTTTTTTTTGCTACGCAGGGTAAACTTCAGAACTGGCTTCGCTTCTACTTTGCCTCTATGGATCTAGCATTAAGTCACACACCCTTGGTAAAATAAAAAAGGCTCTTAAAAAAGGCAGCCACAAGGCTGTTCCTCCCCGCAAATGGTTGCTTTCTTCCCTTGGCAGCGCATCGAATCCACAGCGCTTCGTTTGGGCCTCCGCTATTTCGGCCGCAGTTTGGACGGGCAGATCGACATGGATGGGGACGGCCTGGTGGATCTGGCTGTGGGGGCTCAGGATGCTGCAGTGGTCTTAAGGTGAGGGGCTGGGTGGAGGACCAGGGAAGAGGAATCCCATTCAGAGGGGCGGGTGAGTAACGCTGGTGCAGAATCGCTGCATGGCAACTCACCATGGGACAAGAGTTACCTTGATATTGAACAACTAGTGGAATTGTTCCCAAGTCATGTCCGACCCATCGTGACCCCCTAGACAACGTTCCTCCAGGCCTTCCTGTCCTCTACCATCCTCTGGAGTCCATTGAAGCTCAGGCCGACTGCTTTGGTGACTCCATCCAGCCACCTCCTTCTCTGCCGTCCCGTTCTTCTTCTTTTGCCCTCNGTGATTTTGTCCTCCGCGATTTTGTGGTGGAACTGAACAGAAGTTGCCTTCAGAAATTGTGGGAGCTTCATCCTTGGAAGTTTTCAAGAAGAGACTGGTCAGAAATGGTGTAGGATCTCCTGCTTGGGCAGGGGGTTGGACTAGATGACCTGCAAGGTCCCTTCCAACTCTGTTCTAAAAATAAGATCCGTGGTCAAAGACCAGAATTTCTTTGTCATTTTCTTCTTTTTTTCTTTTTCTTTCCCTTTCTCAGGCTACACCGTCTCTTCCATCAGACTCCGGAGTGGCCGAAGGCTCTATCTGGCCAGCGCCCCCCGTTTCCAGCACAAGGGGAAAGTTATCCTCTTTGAGATGGATGGAGATGGCGACGTATCCATCTCTCAGGCCTTGACAGGGGACCAGGTAAGGGACTCGCAAAATGCAAATGTCAATCATTGCACTTTTTTTTTTAGCAGAAACCATTTACAACAGAAGCAGGAGATGCTAGAAGATGTGTCTGTGTGTGTGTGTGTTTTGTGACCAACTAGCAGTGTTGCTGCATGAAAGATGTGTGAGAACATCGTGTATGTGTCTGGATTTTCTGGCTGCTGAATTCAGACGGTCCTCGTCTTACAACAGTTTGCTTAGTGACGGAAGTTACAACGGCACTGGAAAAAAAGTGACACAACCATCGTTCACACTTACAAACGTTGTGGCATCACATGATTTGCATTTGGGTATTTGACAACTGGGTCATATTTAGGACGGTTGCTGGGTGTGTTCTGAGCTAGGCTTCACCAAATCCCGAAGCAGACTCCTTGTCCCAGCAAAACCCCTTTTTATGAAGCTCAGGTGAATCCCTCTCGTTCACATCCAGCAAAATCCCAGCAAACAGTCTTTCAAGGGTGGATTTACAACCACAGACCTTATCAGCCTTGGAGAGCTGCCAGGCCGATATCTTCCAAATGCTGTACCAGAAAATACTTGGCAAGGAGTCTCTGGGGTCACAGACAAATCTTCACACTAATGAAGGGAACTAATGGTCTCCTGCAAACTCCCTTCCCCATTTGCTCCTCTTTATTCCCTCTGGGAGGGGCCGTTCACTCTCCACCTGTGCTTTTACTCCCGAGTCGGCCCTTGTTCCTTAGCTGTTCCCTTCTCCTGGCAGCTCTGCACATGCGCACACTGGGAACAGGCTCCAGCTGTTCCTCTGCTTCACTGATCTACGACTCCGAAGGCAGCTGATAACTGTCGGGCGGCGCTGCCCCCCCCGCCTCCGACACAGAGCCCTCATCAGAGCCTTCCCCAGACTCCAGGACTGGCCCATGCTCCTCCCCAACCTCCTCACTGTCCGAATCTGCTGCAAGCTCCACTGCCAGGCCACTGTTTCCTGGGGTCATGCAACATTCTGATGAGCAAAGTCAATGCGGGGGAGGGGGGAAGCCAGATTCACTTAATGACCATGTGGCTAACTTAACAACAGTGGCAAGAAAACTTGTGTGAATCTGCCAGGGTTGACGTAGTCTTCATTGTCTCATGCAGATCGGTTCCTACTTTGGGAGTGAAGTTTGCCCCGTGGACGTGAATGGGGATGGCATCACAGATGTCCTGCTGGTGGCTGCCCCCATGTACCTGGGCCCACAGAACAAAGAGATAGGGTGTGTTTACCTTTACAAGGTTGGCCAGGTGAGTGCCGTTGAGGGGCAGGGGTTCAACGGAGTTTGCATTGGGTTTTTATCTCTGAAAGACCACCCGGAATCACTCTAAGGTGCTTTTTCAAAAGGCAACTGGACTTTCTGGGGGTGGGGGGGTTTGTCAGGGTAATGATGATTTAATAGCTGACAAGCTGCTGTAAGGCTGTAAACCGAGATGATGACATGAGGATGAGTCAGCAGGGTTACTGCCACTTTAACAAGCTGTATATATAAGGGAGGCCATGTGAGGACGTCTCTCTCTCCTCGTATATCTCTCTCCATTGTAGTTCTCCATTTAGAGTTGGAAGATTGATTGCTTGCCTAGTATTTTCCTGACATGTGTACGTATATATAAGTCCTGGATATAAACCACTGTTTGAAAGACAAAACCTCTGTATTTTACTCCTGGGTTGTCTCAAAATTGTAGTCACACTGTGCATACTCTGACATTTTTCTTTGAAGACATTTTGCTTTTCATCCAAGAAGCTTCTTCAGCTCTGACTGGATAGTGGGGAGAGTCAGAGCTGAAGTCGGAGCTGAAGAAGCTTCTTGGATGAGAAGCAAAACGTCTTTAAAAAAAAACCCAAAAAGTACAGTTGCCTCTTGAAAAAGCACCTTTGGGACAACCGGGACCTGGATGACTGAGAATCTGCATAGACACCCAGAGTAGAGTAGAGAGTAGAGAGTAGAGATAGAGATAGAGATGGAGATAGAGATGATAGATATAGATAGAGATGATAGATAGAAATAGAGAGAGATAGAAATGATAGAGGTATATATATATAGATGATAGATAGAAATAGAGATAGAGATGATAGAGATAGAGATGATAGATAGAAATAGAGATAGAGATGATAGCGAGGGATAGAGATAGAGATGATAGAGATAGAGATAGAGATGATAGATAGATATAGAGATAATAGATAGAAATAGAGAGAGATAGAGATGATAGAGATAGAGATGATAGATAGAACTAGAGAGAGATAGAGATGATAGAGATAGAGATGATAGTTAGAGATAGAGATGATAGAGAGAGAGAGAGAGATGATGGAGATAGAGATGATAGAAATAGAGAGATAGAGATGATAGAGATAGAGATGATAGATAGAGATGATAGAGATAGAGATAGAGATGATAGAGATAGAGATAGAGATGATAGAGATNTTGTAGCCTAATCTTTATTGCCCTGCTTACAGAAACTGCCTCTCTGGTTAACCCTTATTACATTGTAACAGCTAAGGCGAAGCACCCATCAACGTGAGCATTGAGTTGGCCATGCCCACCCAGTCACATGACCACTGAGCCCCACCTACCCTGCTGGTCATTAGGGCAGAGAACCGGTTGTTAAAATATTTGAATCCCACCATTGATGCAGGGGGGGGCGCTTGCATTGCATTTTGGGGCCTCATGCGCCGCCCCCGACACCCTTTATAGGCATGGAAATCCTCCTGCATCAACCTGGAAGCTAAAACAGGGTACAGGGGCGCCGCATAAGCCCCCTCCCCCTTAATGCCTCATTATGGACCCGGAAAGCCTCCTGCCCCAACTTTGAAGCCAAAAATGGATGAAGGGGGGGGGGTCAGGGGCATTGGAGTTTCACACACTGCTTTGGGCACTTGGCACCAAAAAGGTTAACCATCACTGCCCTATAAATTTGGGGGAGGGGGAGAATCAAGGTTCTGGAATATACCATATTTTTCGGAGTATAAGACGCACCAAGATATTTTTTTTAATTTTAATTGAACAAAAACACAAAAAAAGAATTATCCTTCATTACGTCTTGTAGAAAGCGTGTTGATTGGTTACAGATAACTTTCGTGCATTTCTTCCACAGCCCTTACTTATAGTTCATATTAGAGTATACACTTTACATCAAAAATCTTTGTCTATCTTACTGTTAATGTACCACAATTCTCATTGGACCACAATTATTTGAACAGGCTTTTACCTCAAATCATTCATACTTAAAGACACAACCACATAATGGCATTCATGAGCTATTTCAAAAAATCCTTTATAACATCTTTTAAATGAAAGTCAGTTAATAAAGTTTCTAAACCTTCCCCCCTTTTTTGGAAGAGGTGAATTAAAAATAATTTTTTGCACTCTGCACACCTCCCAAACCCTCTGCACGCCTCATTTTTCATGAAAAACCGGGCATGGGTAGCCTTTAGGAGGCTTGTAGGATGCTCTGGGGGCCCAGGAAAGGCAAAAATGAGCAAAAAAAACGGCCTGTTTTTCAGTTGTTTTTGCCCTCCCCAGCCCCCAGGAGTACTTTGCAGGCCTCCCAAACCTTCTGCACATCCATTTTTGTGAAGGGAGTGGGTTTTGGGGAGGCAAAAAAATGCTGCAAGAGTGGTGGTGCAGT